CTAAATCTATCATAACTTGTTACAACAGCAATAGGAAACCTGCAGAGAAGTATGGATGTAAGGGAATGTAGAGTTATAATCTACAAAATGAGACAAGTGATGGGATGTGGTATGGGCACAAGGAAACTGGGAAGATTTCCAGCCTGGATAAATGGGTGGAGGAAAGTGGTAAAATTAAAAGTAGCAAGGAACAGGTATTAGAAGAAGGTGTTCACTTTGCATGTATGTATGGGTCAGATAGGGTGAAGGAAGATTTGAAACAAGAGATGAATTTAAGAGACTGCCTAATATTGTTATAGTTAATAGAACTGTTACAGTACCAGTACCATGGCATAGTGTTTTGGTTACTATAGCTTTGTAATATAGTTTGGAATCAAGAAGTATGTATTCTCCAGCTTGTTCTTTCTCAAGTTTGCTTTAACTGAACTGTTCAAGGTCTTTATGTGGTTCCATGTGAATCTTAGAATTGTTTTCTTCTGTGAAAAATACCTTTGGAGTTGAATATGTAGATTACTTTGTGTAGTAAGGACATTTTAATGATTAATTCTTTCAGTCCATGAGCATGGAGTATCTTTCCATTTATTTTTATTTTTAATTTCTTTCACCACCTTTGTTAACTTTATTCTTTTTGATGGTATTGTAAGTGAAATTCTTCTCTTAATTTCTCTTTTTAATAGTTCATTGTTACTGTATAGAAACAGCTGATGTTTGTATATTGATAATGTATCCTGCAACTTGAGCAAATTGATTCACTTATTAGTTCTAACCACTTCTTGGTATGGACTCTTTAAGGGTTTTCTGTTTGTAAGATGTCATCTGTAAACAGAAAATTTTACTTCTTTCTTTCTGATTTTGATACCTTTTATTTCTTTGTCTTGCCTAAGTGCTTTGTCTAGGACTTCCTTTACTGTGTTGAATAAAAGTGGTAAGAGTTTGGGCATCATTGTCTTGTTCCTGATCTCAGAGGAAAAGGTATCAGCTTTTCACTGTTAAGCGTGATGTAAGCTGTGGGCTTGTCATATATGGCCTTTGTTATCTAGGCATGTTCCCTCTATACCTAATTTGTTAGTTTTTATCGTGGATGTTGAATTTTGTCCAATGCTTTTTCCACATCTGTTGAGATGATCATAGAATTTTTATTCTTCATTTTGTTGATGTAGAGTATCACATTTATTGATTTACATATGTTGAACCATCTTTGCATGGGAAGCATTTTGCAGGTTGTCAACACATTTTTGAAATGGACACAGCTGCTGTTAGTATGTAAAATAAACAGGGTAGAAAAAGTAGGCTAAAAATTACTGCATTGGATATTACATGTATAAAACATTTCTGTCAACCCAGAAAGTTCTACTGGATAGCACTGTTCTATAATGAGGGATTGGATATTATTGTAGCAAAATTTTTAAGAATCAGAGTTTGCTAATGAGGCAGAATTTCCAAAGACCTGGACTCTTCAAGGAATTTTGTGATATAGTCGAGTGAACAGTGCACCATCCTCACTTGCTCTCTCTGAGGAACATTAACCTGAGTAACAGTGAGCACTAACCATTTGTGTTTCAGGATCCTGGGTTTTTATACTGGTCCTGCTTTGTATTGTATGAAATTGTGAAAATCTTAGAAACATAAAAAGGTCTCTGAACTTCTTAAAGAGATCTTATAACCTCTTAAAATTTTTAAAAACAAACAAGAGCCCTGACTGGGTGACTTGGTTGGAGTGTCATCCCATGCACCAATAGGTAAATTCCTGGTCAGGGCACATACCTAGAATGTGGGTTCTATCCCCAGTTGGGGTATGTATGAGTGGCAACTGGCAATTGATGGATGTTGCACTCTCATATCAATGTTTCTGTCTGTCTCTCCCCACCTCCCCAGCTGTCTCTGAAATCAATAAAATATCCTTGGTTGAAGATTAAAAAACAAACAGCTAATATATGTATTCACTGAAGAATATACAGCATAGAAATAGTAGAAAAAAATTTTTAAAGAAGAAAAATCTTATCTATAAAACAGGGACTTGATATCTATACCAGCCATTTCAGTCCTTATAGTAGGACATCATGATATAGTTCATCAAATAGTCTTAGAGATCTGCTTCTCTTTTCCCCTAGTAACTTTGCATGGCTGAAGTATTAGATCATTAGTAAAAATTACGTAAAGTACCTTGAGTTTTACATTTATATTTAGTTTTAAGTTTCCAATTCATGTTGGTTATAACAGTGTGTATATAACTGAAATTTATTAGCAGATATGCAATATCTGAGAGAACACAAGTTTATTACTACTTAAAAAGTTAAGGAACTTCTGAAGAGAAATAAAGGAATTGGAGAGGAAAGCAGGGTTTGTCTGGAAGAATTCTATTGGTATAGAGACCAAATACCATAAAAATGTCATTTTCAGAATATCCTTTTTTCCAGAATAACTTTTTCATAGAGAACTTTTTTTACTTTACTGATACCTCTGCTACTCAGATTCTGTCCAGAAGAGAATAATTTAATAGGTTAAAGGAATTAATTGTGTTGGGATTTTACCTATACCTTTGTGTATCTTTTCTCAGGTAAAATTTATTGATCATAAATCTTCCAGTTAAATATCATTTATGTGTCTGTATGTTAGGATAGGAAAGTTAATTTAAGAAAATTGCTGTGCTGTTTACACTCTGATGAGATGACAGCCTCTTTGTTTTCCTCTGCTGTGTACTTTTCTGCTGCTCATTAGTATTTCATCAGGGTATGGAGACACAACTTATATAGGGCTTGTTTAGACATCCAAGAGTCTCCCCCCCCTTATTGAATTTATTGGGGTGGCAATGGTTAACAAAATTATACAGGTTTCAGGTATGCAATTCCACAGCATATCATCTGTATACTCTAGAGTGTGTTCACCACTCTCTTAATCGAGGGGTTCCAAGAATCTTAATGGAGAGGAATTTTAAAATGTAGCCAATTATTTCATATTATGGCACTTTTGGTTCCTATATTAAAGTTATCCAAAATGTTTTATAACCAAACATTTCCTCTCGTTTCCATGAATAATTGTAAGCTCAATAACTTTATTGATTGGTATATATGTATATTTAATTATAAGCAAGTGTTAGATTATAATGCTTTCTACAGATGTTTTCATTAATCTAAAATAATGTGACATAAATACTTTATGTGAAGTTTGTATGCAACACTAGCTCAGTGCTGAACACTAGTTGTCCTTCAGTACATTTTGAAATGTTTTGAAAAAATAAGGAAGAAGTTGAATTTGTATTTGTGTTTATTCTAAAGCTTATTATTATTTTGTTTTATCAGAATTCTAGAATCTTCCTGCGCTTTTTCCTTTCATACTGTATTAATGTTAGAAATAAGGAAAAATGTACAGTTCTTCCTTTTCTTTCTACACATTTTAATTAAGGTTCTCAGGAATTTCTTTGCTTTCTCCTCATTTATCACCACCCCCCGCAACAGTTTCAGCAAAATTACAGGAAGAGCTCTCTCCTACCAAGCTCCCTCTAATGCATTAATTGTGTTAAGGCACCTACTTCAGGGTCAAAAGGTCTGAATTTAGGACCTGGCACACAACTAGATCAGGCAAGGTTTTAGAAGAAAACTAAATCAAACTCAGACGGTTCGAGACGCTTGAATGAAGGACCACAGAAATGGAATGCATTAAGGGAACCCACAGAGTGTATTTTCACTATTTATAGAGGGAATTTTGAAGGGGTGAGGAAAATACAATGTTATCAGAGCCTAGTGAGAGCTATGGAAAGAGGTGTGCCTGACAGGAGCCATGGTAGTAGAGGGACACAGCTTCTGTCAGAAAATGTGGTCCAGAGAAAGGAAGGAGCTGGGAAGAAATAATCCAGACTTTCTCTGCCCTGTGATCTGCCATTGACAGCCCTGGAACCCAGAAGATGTATCTATTGAAGTTAGCCTCCTTGTTTACAGAATAGAATAGAAGAGTATTGGAGGGATTAGGGTAGTAGCAATAAGATAATAACCAGTGTAACTACTAATTATGAGATTGATTTATGTAATCTAGTACTTTAGATTCAGTTTTTGTCTGTAAACTATAGATGCTTTTACTGGGTTTGATGTGAGCTTAAATGAGATAACATGCTAAAATAGCGCCATAGTGTTTTGTCTTGTGAGTATAAAGCTTTGATAAGGTATAGATTTGAAAAGCTCAACCTCATTTTATTTGGTGCTGTACTGCATGTTTTATAGGAGCTTTGATTGCCTCTATGCTTTTAAATATATGGTAGTTTTGTGTTTTCTAGTAATCTTTGAGAAGTGCATTGCACAGTGATTAAGTAGTTTCCAAGATTTAGAGACTTTTAGTTATTGCCTAATGACAGGTTTTCTTTTTCACTCTTCTTGTAGATAGACCTACTTCTGAACTTAATGGGTGAGAGTGCTTTTGATATGTAGAGATTGTCTCCCTGGTCGCTGCTACCAGTACTTCAGTATTGATAACACTGTTATCCTTGTTGCCAGTACTTCTGTTGTCCTAGCAGTGATGCCTTGTCCCCCTAATTAGTAACAGTATTTCTTTTCACAGATATTACTTTCATTCAACCTCTCTTTGAGCATATAGCCTAGATCAAGATTTAGACAATCCCTGTATTTTCAGGAAAACTTATAGCCACCAGATCACAGATAATTTACTTAAAAGCACTTAAAAAATCCACAAAAATTGCCCTGGCTGGTGTAGCTTAGTGGATTGAGCGTGGGCTGCGAACCAAGGGATCACTGGTTTGATTCCCAGTCAGGGCACATGCCTGGGTTGCGGGCCAGGTTCCCAGTGGGGGCACGTGAGAGGCAACCATACATTGATGTTTCTCTCTCTTTCTCCCTCCCTTCCTTCTCTCTAAAAATAAATAAATAAATCCACAAAATTATACTATGATTTTGAAATTAAATAAATTACTTCACAGGCTCAAGTTATCAGTTTTGGTAAATTTCAACTGAACTTTTCTGATTACTGATTAAATCTTAATTATTTTCCACCAGACGGTCTGCCAAATCCCGAAGCAGAAGCCCATATTCATCCAGGCATTCAAGATCTCGTAGCAGGCACAGATTGTCTAGATCCAGAAGTCGTCATTCTAGTATTTCTCCTAGCACACTAACTCTGAAGAGTAGCCTGGCAGCTGAATTGAACAAGAATAAAAAAGCACGAGCTGCAGAGGCAGCAAGAGCTGCAGAGGCAGCTAAGGCTGCAGAGGCAGCTAAGGCTGCTGAGGCTGCTGCCAAAGCTGCCAAAGCCTCCAACACTTCTACACCTACCAAGGGGAGCACAGAAAGTGCTGCCAGTGTATCACAAACAAACCATGTGAAGGATGTGAAGAAACTTAAGATTGAACATGCACCTTCTCCCTCCAGTGGTGGAACTTTGAAAAATGACAAGGCAAAAACAAAGCCACCTCTTCAGGTAACAAAGGTGGACAATAATTTGATCGTAGATAAAGCTGCCAAGAAAGCAGTTGTAGTTGGGAAGGAGAGTAAACCTGCTGCTACAAAGGAGGAACCAGTATCTCTTAAAGAGAAAACCAAACCACTTACACCAAGCATAGGAGCCAAGGAGAAGGAGCAACATGTGGCTCTAGTGACTTCTACGTTACCACCATTACCTTTGCCTCCCATGCTGCCTGAAGATAAAGATGCTGATAGGTAAGTGCAAAGAATTTGGTCAGTAGCTATTTAAAGAAAAATATTCGTAAGTTTGAAATAAGAAATTATATGACCTTCCCCTGCCAAAAAAAAAAAACCCTGTACAAAAAGAGACCATAAGCAACTAGATTGATTCTCTTTCTAATGTATGTCTTAATAAAATTTAAATATATGTCTTAAAATGCTGTATATTGTTTGTACAATGACAAAATTACAGCTTATGCTAAGAATTCCAGGAAAAATTTGCCATTGCTTTGGGATACAATGTATTATCAGTTTGAGTTTGGGAATTAGAAATGCCAGTATTTACTTTGGTTTAATACTCCTCAGTGATATGTCAGAGACAGGACATTTTATGAAAGCATCTGTCCTGGGTGATACAAAGCATGTATCTTGGTTATTTCCAAGTTTTTTTCAGTGGCCTTTTAAATTTACCAGTTTTGGTGGCTCTACAAATTTAACACTTTAGTCTTTTCTTGACTTTAAATTTTTGCAAATAGAGATTAATTACATATTACAGAAAACCCATAATGTGGTTATGCTTTCCTTTAATATGTTTACATATATCTATTATAAATATTGGGGGTGTGGCTTATTTTTTATTTGAACATTTTTAAGAGGATAAAGGTATAAGAGGTAAATGGAATTCTAAGTTTGTTTCTTAAATATATGCTCGGATAGGAGAATTATGCTATTGTGTTCTATCTGCCTAATTATATCACTTAATTTATTTTTATTTTTATGAAGAAATTAGAGCTGTTTCTCCCCTTACTTTCTGTTATGAAGCAACTATATGGATGATTTTCCTGGCTGATAGAGTAGAAAACAAGTAGGTTAAAACACCACGTGGGCAGGTCTTTTAAGTGCTCACTTTGGTTAACATTATGAAAATTTTGTGACTTAAACCAAAAAATATTTCCTGTTTCATGCCTCATAAGGCCAATTTTTTTTTACAAAAAAAATTGTTGTAAATCAGAAATGTTGCCCAGAGATCCCATGCAATTTAATTAGGTGTTATCTCATTATGGTACTCTAATTGTGTTATTTCCATGCTTGATTGTTACGCAGGAGCACTGAAAGTTTATAACAGTAGTGATTTATAATTTTGATGAGTGGTAGAATGGGCTTTCCAGCACAATGAGTGCAGAATTGAGTCACTTATTAATACCTGAGAATCCAGTGATTCTGAACTAGTGACTCTTTCTCCACTTTATTCTTCATATGTGCTATAGGGGTAAATTTTTACTGGTGGTATTTTCAAGAACTCAGGACATTCCTATTGAGTGGTTAAGGAGGATATTCTTTGTGCATCTGTTTGTAATTCACACAGATTGCACATTTCATAGTTGGTCATTAAGAAATTTTTGACCCACCTTCTTTCCTGTCTTTTCTACTTTGCTCTTTTGTTGTATCTCTGCTTTTTTTTTTATTTTAATGTGTTTGTATGTTTCATGGACATAGAAGTTTATGGCTCTTGAATACTACTACTAACATGTGTGGCCAAAGACTATAACACCAGTTACAGTTACCTTTTGATGATCCAGCTGTCTGAAATTTGGCCAGTGGGAACTTTTTAAACTGGCTCCTTTGTCCTTTTGACATAACTGCATTGGTTTTTGAGTGCTTTCTTGTTTCCTAGCCAAATAATATCTTAGGCTTACTTTGAACTTCTTTACTAGACCTAAAATTCATTAATCTCTGAAAATCATAAAATAGACTGTTACCTGTATGTTTTCATATAACATTGTTTTCTTTTAAAAATATATTACGATCATACTGTACATAATATTCTTTGACATTTTTTTTCATTTGGTATGTTGGAGATTTATTCCTACCTATAGAAATGGATGCATCATGCTCTTATTAACTATTCTGCTGTTGGGTAATGGATACTTAGATTTATAATTATTTGCTAGTAAAGTCACCTTACATTAATACTTCATGTACATCCGAGCAATTTTTGTAGGATAGTTTCAAGGCCAAAGTATGCACACTTAAAGATTTGATAGAAACTGCCACCATGTATCTCAGTAAGATTATATAACAAGTTATACATCCAATGTATGAACTAACTTCAACAACACTGTCGATTTTGAATTTTTGATAATCTTTAAAATATGTAATGATTTAATTTTGCATTTTTTGCTTGTTGAGATATAGCATCTTTCTGAACATTTTTTGGCTATTTATTGTTTCTAGTGAATTGCATGTTCTCATGTTACGCTGACTTTTCCTTAAGATTGATTTTCTTTTTCTAATTGATTTGTAGGTATTCCTTATTTAGGGATCTTAATCTTTGCCTCAGAGGCTGTTTTTTGTCTTTGAGATTTATTTGTTTTGTTTTTGGATATATGGATGTTTTCCATTTTAAAAATAGTAGCTATTATTTTTCCTTTAAAACTTTAGAGTATATAAATTTTAAAAAGACTCATATTTTGCAAACATTTTTTTGTTTTTGTTTCTTATTAACCCTCCTGTGTTTTTGGTTTTTAAGTGAAGAAGAAAGACTTGGCTCTCCTCTATCACCCTGTGGACCAACAGGTCCAATTAGTAACATCATTTATTGAATAATCCATCTCACTGATTTGTGGCACCATATATAAAAATTCTTATAGATATCTGTGTTTATGTACTTTCTTTTCTATTAACATATTTAATTATTTCTTCGCCACTACCTTTTTAACATTTGTAGATGCATGGTATGTTGGCTCTCAAACTCAAATTTCTATTATAGTGGTAGGCAGATAATGTAAAAGTGAAGGAATGGAATAAATTACTGATCAGCGAACAGCCCTGCTATTCAGCCTCAAATTTAGTGCTGCTATACATGGATTTGGGTTCTGTGTGCCTAGAGTTTTTCATTTTTTTTTTAAGAAGCCTGGGATCTCAATATTTATGCAAATCTTCTGATTGATTTAAAAATACTGATAGTTACTCTCTCCGCCGGCCATCTTGTGGGAACAGCTGAAGCAGGCGCTCTTGCCTCGGCGTGGCCCACTGCAATCTGTGGAGGAACACGCAGCCGAGCCAGCATCATGCCTGGGCATGTATAGGAAGGCTTTGGCTGCGTGGTCACCAACCGATTCGATCAGCTATTTGACGACGAATCAGACCCCTTCAAGGTGCTGAAGGCAGCAGAAAACAAACAAAAAAAAGCCGGCAGGGACGGTGTTGGGGGGCCCTGGGGCCAAGAGCGCAGCTCAGGCAGAAGCCCAGACCAACTTCAACGTGGCAGGCGAACAGCTGCATGAAGAGAAAGATTGCAAAAACCCACTGCCGTCCAACATTGGCGTGGCTAAAAAGAAAGAGGACATGCAGCTGCCAGTGGCACTTAAGAAAGAAAGCATAAGACGTGTTGGAAGAAGATCTGATCAACAACTTCAGGGAGAAGGAAAAATAATTGAAAGGAGACCAGAAAGGCGACTACCTCGTGGACAATTTGAAAAGCCAACTTGAAGAAAAGGATGAAGGAGAATTCTTAGTTGATAGACTGATTATTGACCAGCCTATCCGAGGTCGTGGTGGTCTTGGAAGAGGTCAAGGAGGCTCTGGGCGTGGAACGTCCCAAGGAGATGGATTTGATTCTCGTAGCAAACGAGAATTTGATAGGCATAGTGAAAGTAATAGATCTGGCCTGAAGCACGAGGATAAACGTGGAGGTAGCGGATCTCACAACCGGGGAACTGTCAAAGATAAATTAACTGACTTGGAGCAATCCAATGTGACTGAGGAAACACCTGAAGGTGAAGAACATCCAGTTGCGGACACTGAAAATAAAGAAAATGAAGTTGAAGGAGTAAAGGAAGAGGGTCCGGAAGAAATTACTTTGGATGAGTGGAAGGCTATTCAAAATAAGTACCGGGCAAAAGTAGAATTTAGTATCAGAAAACCAAATGAAGGTGCTGATGGGCAGTGGAAGAAGGAATTTATTTTTCCTAAGTCAAAGAGTGAAGAGGCTCATGCTGAAGATTCAGTTATGGACCATCATTTTCGGAAGCCAGCAAATGATATAACTTCTCAGCTGGAGATCAATTTTGGAGACCTTGGCCACCCAGGATGTGGTGGCAGGGGAGGACGAGGTGGCCCTGGGTGTGGTGTGACGCTCGCTCACCGGCCTGCAGTGAGCACGGAGCGCTGCGGATGGCTTGTCTACACATGAGAAAAACATACACAGAGACAACCAGGTCCTGTGAGGAAGTAGGAACAAAACAGCCACTCTCTCTTGGGGAGTGCCCCGTATCCATTCCCAAGCAGATTTTTATTGAGAATACAGACTTAGTTTGTGAATTCACTGTCTGGCAGAAAAGATCAAAAGAAGTAGGTAACTTACAAAGGTGCAGACAGAACCCCCGTTGTGATTCTGGAGTTTGGAATGTTAACATATTGCTTAGAGGGCTAGTTTTGGTTTCCTGTCTTTGCCTCCATATTCTAATCTAATAACACCCTCCAGCAAACAGATCTCACAGGATCTTGCATATTCTATGCCCCAGGCCTGATTACCCTGGGGGTCTGCCGTTTCTGGTCTGGGCTGCACCGCTCCTGCTATTTCCTGCAGGCCTGAGTCAACAGAGGAGAAAAGGCAGCCAGGAGACTTGGATTTTTTACTTCTAAGAACAAGGACTCAGGCTTTGACAAAGCCGAGGGGGCAGGGGTTGATGTCCATCACCCCTTCATTTCCACAGCCCCGAGTCTCTTCCCAGAGGCCTCCTCGTGATCATGCCTGTCTCAGGTGATTCCCTCCATGGGAAATCTTACCCGTCATTGGCTAATTGATCAAGCTTAGGAGGTCAGGCACAGAAGAGGCAGCGTTCATGCCAGGGAAATAAGTTTTTGGCTCCTTAGTGGCTCCTGGTTTGGAGGTCTCTCACTTAGCCTAAGTCACGGGGGGTTACAGCTTCCTGAGACCAGGCAGGGTGGTCCCCAACAGTGGTGGACGTCCAAACCATGGCAGCAGGACTGACAAGTCCAGTGCTTCAGCTCCTGATGTAGGCGACCCAGAG